TTCTTGTCATGGCTCTCACTTCTTTAGGATATATTCCTAGTAACGGAATGGCTGGCTCAAATGGCATTTCTAATTCCAACTTTTTAAGGAATCACCATACTGCTTTCCACAGTGGTTGTACCATTTTACAGTCCCACCAGTAGTGCATGAGAGTCCCAATCTCTCCGCATCCTCGCCAGCATTTGTTATTTTCTGTCTTGTTGAACTTTGCTACTAGTGCTGGAGCAAGATGGTATCTCATTATGGTTTAGATTTGCATCTCTCTAATGGCTAATGATTGCGAGCATTTCTTCATGTTTGTTGGCCGCCTGAATATCCTCCTTGGTGAAGTGTCTGTTCATGTCTTCTGCCCATTTTTAATTGGCTTATTTTTCTTTTTGTTATTGAGGTGTTGGAGTTTTCTAGAAATTATAGAGATAAGTCCCTTGCCAGATGTCATTGCCAAATATCTTTTCCCAATCTGTAGGTTCTCTTTTGACTCTTTTGCAGAAGTCTTTGGAAGCACATAAAAATTTAATTTTTAGAAGGTCCCATTCATTTAGTTTCTCTTCTGCTGTTGTGTTCATCAGTGCATCAAATCTATTCTTGAGATGGTGTCTAAATCCAGGTGGGATGTACTCAAGGCCATATTTTGGCACTCGTGAACCTGTTTCCATTTTCTTCAGCTTCACCTTGAACTTGCACATGAGCAGTTGATGGACAGGTCCACACTCAGCGCCTGGCCTTGTGACATGCTGTTGAGCTTTTCTGTCCTCTCTTCCCACAGATGTGGTCGAGCTGATTCCTGTGTACTCCATCTGGTGAGGTCCGTGTGTGTAGCTGCCATTTATGTTTTTGAAAAAAGGTTCTTTGGTCTTGCAAAGTTCTGTCATGCTCTCTCCAGCATCATTTCTGTGACCAAGGCATGTTTGCCAACTACTGACCCTTCTTCTTTGTTTCCGACTTTCACAGTCCAGTCATCAGTAATTATCAATGCGTCTTGATTGCTTGTCTGAACAATCTCAGACTGAATTTGGTACAGATCTTTAATTTCTTCATCTTCCGCATTAGTGGTTGGTGTGTAAATTTGAATAATAGTTATATTAGCTGGTCTTCCTTGTAGGTGTATGAATATTATCTTATCACTGACAGTGTTGTGCTTCAGGACAGATCATGAAATGTTCTTTTTGACAGCGACTGTGACAACATTCTTCAATTTGTCCTTCTCAGCATAGTAGACCATGTGTCTCTGATTCAAAATGGCCAATTCCAGTCCATTTCAGCTCACGGACACTGAGGATACCAATCTTCAAGTGTTCCATTTCATTTCTGACAACTTCTAATTTTCCCAGATTCATACTTTGTATGTTCCACATTCTGATTATTAATAGATGCTTGCAGCTGTTTCTTCTCATTTTGAGTCATTTCTAGGTATTAAAGAAAAATTGTACCAGACAGGGTTAAGCAGGCAAAAAAAAACATTTCTGTCAAGTCATTTCTGTGGATTCATTCAGCAAATGCTATTGCAGTGGGTGAGTGAGGCCAGAACCAACCATGAGCACAGGGCCATCGAAACAAAAGGACAGCGTTTAAAGGATGAGTGGGCTCCTGGGAAAGGCCCTCCCTTTCCCATCCTCTCCCTTTCCCTCCTTCCTTCGCCTCCCCTCCTCCTCCCACCCTCCCCTTGGTTAGACCCCCAGAGGCAGAGGTAAGGGGCTCACTAATCCGGTGCTTAGACGACTAAGGGCCCAGACGAGGAAGAAATCAAGGAGAGAAGGGGGCCCTGGTGGCATGGTGGTTAAGCACTTGGCTATTATCCAAAGGGTCAGCAGTTCAAACCCACCGGCAGCTTCACAGGAGAGAGCCCTGGATCGGCCTCCGTGAAGATGTCAGCCTTGGAAACCACAGGGGCAGATCTGCTGTGCCCTGCAGGGTCCCCCCGAGCCTGGATAGGCCGGCGGGGCAGGCCCCGCGTTAGCCACGGCTGCCTCACGTGGCTCCCGGAGTCCCTGGCCGTGCAAACAGTGCCCACACTCAGCTGCCCACCCAAAGGCTGGGAGTTCAAGTCCAGCCAGGGCATGCCAGCAGAAAGGCCCGGCAATCTACTGAAAAGCCAGCCTCTGAGATCCCCATGGAGCTCAGTTCTCTGACGTCCGGGGCTGTGGGGATCGGAGTTGATGCCATGGCAACTCCTCGTTTGTGCAGCTGTTGCCCCAGCACTGAGCTGGGAGAGGCGGTGAGGGGCCAGAAGCTTGGGGGCTGCTCCGAGCCCAGGTGAAGGCTCCTGATGCTGCAGTGAGTGGTCCAGGGCACGCCTTCAGGGCACTGGTGCTCGGGGTGCCACAGCTCCTGGGCTTCCCTCGGAGCTCAAGACTTAGGAGGGGGAGGGTGGGGAAACGAGGGTGCCAGAAAATGTCTGAGACCAGGGCACTTGCTCCAGAAAGGCCTTTTAAGTGAACCCACCCAAAACCTGATAGGGTCTCCAAGACTGTCAATCTTCACGGAAGCAAAGCCCAAACCACACCCACTGCCGTGGAGTCCTTTCCGACCCACAGCGCCCCTAGAGGACAGAGTGGAACTGCACACAGGGTCTCCAAGGGTGTAATCATTGTGGAAGCATCTTTCTTCCCCCAGATCAACTGGTGAATTTGAACCCCTGACCTTTTGGCTAGCAGCTAAACACTTTAACCACGTTGCCACCAGGAGCCACTCAAAGTAGGCATCAGTTTCACAGTAAACCCTCCGAGAACGTTCTACCGTGCTAACGCCAGAAACAAAAACCATATAAATGTGTGTATTTGCATCTCACATTCAATAAAGTGATATTTGCAACTAAGCACTACTTCTTAGAATAAAGAAGAAACGCACGCACGTGACAGGTTACCTTTGCTGCTGTGGTAGCGCTAGGAAGTTGTGCCAGGGGCAGGATATGGCTGCCTCCCTGTGGCCTTCCACAGTGAAATCCCAAAGACCCCTTCTGGAAGAATATGCCAGAGACTCAGGGCTTCCCCGAGCCTCACCTACCCTGCGATACCGCAGTGGTTTCTGTGGCCACCCAGTTCTCAAGTCCTTTCTCTGCAGCTCGTTAACATCATGCGTGCATTGCCTTGTCTCCAGCCACCAGCCGCACCTTGCCAGGCTGGGACTTGGGTTGGGGGCCCTGAGGTAAGGAGCAATGGGTGTTGTCAGTGGGTGCTGTTGACTTAGCTCTGACTCCCAGGCCCCCACGTGACAGAGCAGAACTGGCCATTGAGTTTTCTGGGCCATGGCGTTTCAGAACCATCTCCAGGCCTTTGCTCTGTGGTACCACTGCATAGGTTCAAACTACCAACTTTCAGGTTAGCGTTGCTGTTGTTGGGGCCCCCGAGTCAATTCCAATTCACAGGACCCCACGTGACAGAGGTGAACTCCGTATAGGGTTCTCTAGGCGTTATCTTTACAGGAACAGATCTCCACATCTTTCTTCCATGGTGCCTCTGGGTGGGTTCGAACCACCAACCTTTTGTTTAGCAGCCCCGCGCTTAGCCATTGCACCACCAGGGCTCCTTGAGCAGTGGCTCATTCACTGATAAACCTTGTGTCATGCGGGGCTGTTTCCCTGTGTAATTCACCACCTTCCGCTGCTGGAAGCCCCTGCAGTTGCAGCCTGTGTGGGCAGGGCTCTGAGGACAGCCGGCCGAAGGCTCTGAGGTGACAGTAGAGCAGCAGGCGCCAGGAGGGGCTGGCAGAGTGCTGGGCCCCTGCAGCTGGAGAGGGAGGCGTCCCAGAACCACGTTAACTGTGCCTTCTTTGCTCTGCACCCCAGCCCCAGGAGAACCTCCCAGCCTCATCTCAGTGACGCCGCACACCACGTCCTCCGTCCTGGTCCACTGGCAGGTGAGTGTTGGGGCACCGTGGCCACCCACAAGGCTGGCTGGACACTGGCTGCCAGCAGGCCCACGTTCCAGGTTTGGGAACAGAGGACACACCTCTTGCTGGGGGGTGCTGATTCATAGGGGAATGGGATTAAGCTCTAATGTCCCAACAGTTAGAAACACAGACCCAGCAAATATGGAGCACACGCATACTCACCCCCTCGGTGAGGGAGCCAGGGGGCTGGTCACGCAGGCCCAAAGAGCAGCCGAGGGGCTGGACACGTGAGCGCTTATTTCATTTGGTGCCGTCGAGTGGGTCACGGCTCATAGCAGCGCCGTGGCACAGAGCGGAGCCGCCCCAGAGGGCTTCCAAGGCTGTCATGTTTATGGGAGCAGATAGCCAGACCTTTGCTCCCGAGGAACAGCTGGCAGTCAAATGGCCAGTCTTTAGGTTCGTGTTATTGTTGGGTGCCATCATGGGGACCCCAATTCAGTCACCCCTTGTGACAGAGTGGAACTGCCCACAGGGTCTCCAAGGCTGTCAGTCATCAGGGAAGCAAAGCCCAAACCACACCCACTGCTGTGGAGTCCATTCCGACCCACAGCGCCCCTAGAGGACAGGGTGGAACTGCCCACAGGGTCTCCAAGGCTGTCAGTCTTCACAGAAGCAAAGCCCAAACCACACCCACTGCCGTGGAGTCCATTCCGACCCACAGCGCCCCTAGAGGACAGAGTGGAACTGCCCACAGGGTCTCCAGGGCTGTCAATCTTCATGGAAGCAAATTGCCAGGTCTTTCCACCCTTCAACCCACCAACCACTCTGCAGGAGAAAGATGTGCAAGTCAGCTTCCATAAAGTTCACAGTCAGAAACCCTATGGGGCAGTTCCACCCTGTCCTCTAGGGGCGCTGTGGGTCGGAATAGACTCCGTAGCAGTGGGTCTGTTTGATGGTTTGATCTTCCTGGGAGCAGATCACCTGGCCTTGCCCCCAGCAAGCTGCTGGGTAGATTTGAACTGCTGACCGATTGCTTAGCAGCCGAGCACTTGACTATTGCACCCCCAGGGGTCCTTCTTCACCGACATAATCCCCTTGAAAAACATTGGTGCTTTGCACTAGGCTACCACTACCACGACCTTGGCATTCTCTTGGCAGGCACGGCCGGCCTGCGATAGCTAGGTAAGCGTCTTTTGTGCAAAGGCTCTTTTCACGGCCGCGACATGTCAGCTCTCCAGACAAGCAGCCGTCTGTCCACAGCACCGTCTGTCCGCTGCTGGGCCCCTTGCTGCTGGCGGACAGCTCTGTGGAACAGTGCCCAGCCGCATCAGAGGCACTTGGCCTGTGTGCCCGTCAGCTGTCCCCCTTCTGTGCGAGCAGAACAAACTAATTGTAGGAACCAGAGAAGCAGGAGGTGGCCACTGCAGTGCATTGTCAAAATAAACGCCAGTCAACTGCCGGGCAATTCAAGGATAATTAAAATTACGAGCAATTTGCTAAATCAGAGTGAACAGAACAAAGAAGCCACGTCTAAATGTACTTTGGCATCCCAAATGGACACGTAAACCTCTGGTGGTAATTTGCGTAAAGCCGTGGACCCCGGTGGTCGGTGAAGGGCCAGCCTGGCGTGGCCTGCCTGCTCGAGCTCCTCACAGGAAGGTCGTCCATCTTGGTTTTACACGGAGTCCAATCTTGTCTGAGATCCGAGGTTTTGAAAATGAATTCTAGGTGGTGGCACCATTGTGCCCACGCTGAGTGGCGCTCACAGTAGGCATTAATAACTCTGAATTGGTCACAGCGTTTAATCTGGCGACAGCCACACCTCCCGTGGATCATACAGGGTGTCGCTGCAAAGTGCTCCCCCCCCCCCCCCCCCAGCCAGGCTGCTGCAGAATTTTCAGAGTGGGTTTTGAGGCTATTTTCTGGCTAAAGAGAAAAATTCCGGCACCTCCTGCCCTCGGATGGTGTGAACAGTGAACATACTTGGCTGCTAACAAAAGGTTCGAGGTTCTAGGGGTGTGACACCCCTGGGTGCTGGCAGCATGTCTCAGGCTCTCTGGGGCCTGCTGTGCCCCCCTAGGCCACATGATCACACTGGTGCCCTGGGGGCCATGGTCACGGGCAGTCGGGGGTGGGAGCGGAGAGCACCAACACTGGGACGACGGCGGGTGGCCTATGCTCAGACCAGGTTCCAGCTCTGCCGCATCCTTGCCCTGCAGCCGGGCACGTGCTCCTGGGAGACAGTGTGCTTGCAGCCGAGTCAAGGCCAGCTGGCAGGCCCCCGGCTCGCTGGGGGTGCAGAAGCCCATGGAGGTGGAGCCTGCCTCCTGGACGCTCCCGGCCGGAGGGCCCCAGTGGATTGGCCCAGGCTCGGGAGTTTCCACGGACTCCACCAAATGTGGATCCGGCCCCATCCTCCAGGGGAGGTGCTTTGTGCTGACCGTCATTCACCCTTACCCCAGGGTCGGGGACACCAGTGCCGGGTAGTGGGCATGCCGCCCTGAGGGCTCGGGGACACCAGGGCCGGGTGGTGGCGGGCGTGCTGCTGAGTCGCGGTGGCCACATGTGCAGCAGGGGCACTGCCCGGGGTGCCTTTGATGGTTGACTGCAGTCCCCCAGCACACCCCATCAGGGCTCCTGCCCTGTCTGTCCTCCCCCACAGAAGCAAATCACTCTCCTGGGGACCCCCAGCCCCCGCCTGTGTGTGCTGTGGACCTCGCCCAAGGGCCTCTGCCATCTTCCCGCTGAGCGTGGAGGCTGGGCTATGACCGGGACTAAGAGCGTGCCTTTGGAGCCGGGGCTGGCTGACAGAGGCCCAGTGGCTGCCTTTGATCTGCCTGCCACTGCTCCTCACTGACCAGAGCCAGCTCAGGGCACAGATGGGAGCTGAGACTTCTCACTGTCCCCGCCCCAAGCCCGGCCACTCCACCTCCTCACCGGCCACAGGCGGCTCCCAGGGACCCATGCACAGAGCGGGCAGCCACGTCTGAGCAGGAGAGCGGGCTGGGGCACAGTCGGCTCACAGGGCCACCTGTCTGTCTGTCTGTCTGTCTGTCGGTGGCCCAGCGGGACAGGCCTCAGAAGCCTCTTCTCTCTGTCTCCTCCAGCAGAGGCTCCTCCATGGGCGTGGTCACACGTCTCCTCACTCACAGGTGGTAGAAGTAGGGAGGGGCCCTTGTGGCACAGCAGTTAAGCACTCGGCAGCTAAGCCAGAGGTCTGCAGTTCAGTCCTGCCCAGCGACTGCAGGAGAGACCTGACTGTCTGCTCGTGTGAAGGTTAAGCCTAGGCAACCTTATGGGGCAGTTCTCTGACCTGCACGGTTGCTGGGATTTGCAACTGACTTGCAGCACTGAACAGCAGAAGGAGGGACCAGTGGGGGTAGAATTACACACGCGCATGACACGCATAGCACGGGAGGGAACGGCACGGCTTCTGAAACCGTACAGCGCACGTGTTATTTGCGTGGAAATATGGTGAACTCTGGTAGCCCGTGCTCAGCGCACCTCCCCCTCCTCCAGGCTCCATGCCCCTTCTTTCCCACTTGGCATGCAGCCTAGACGTGCAGTGGTGGGTGTTTGGCTGCGCCTAAGGCATCTGACTGCTCACCAGAAGGCTGGATGTTCAAACCCACCAGCCACTCCTCAGAAGGAAGACTGGGCAACCTACTTCCATAGAGATACCGCCTTAGAAACCCAAGGAGGGGTCGCTATGAGTCAGAAACAACTCAACGGCAGTGAGTTTAGTTTGGTGTTTTTAGTTTGCAAAGGGAAGCCCTGGGTCGTGCAGACGGCTGTGTTGTCCGTCACCAAGGGAAAGGGTGGCACCGTGAAGTGCCACGGAAAACATCCCTCCCCCTTTGCTCTTCTCTGGGAGACTCAGGTGGGGGTGCAGGGAGTCCCCGTTCTTGTTCTTGCACAAGGACAGCCCCGACTCTTCCACCCATTGGTTGTATTTTATTTTAAAAACTCAACTGAACCTACTGCATATCTGACAAATGAACAAATAAGAGGGGGAAGACAGGCGTCAAAAAAAAAAAACCCACTGCTATCAAGTCAATTCCAACTCAAAGCAACTCTACAGGACACAGTGAAACTGCCCCATAGGGTTTCCAAGATGTGGCAATCTTGTTTCCATAAAGACCACGGCCTTTAAAAAAGGAAACGGCTGCTAACATCCATTAATAATCAGAAGATGGAATGTGCAAAGTGTGAATCTAGGAAAACTGGAAGTTGTCAAAAATGAAATGGAATGCATAAAGGTCACTATCCTAGGCATTCGTGAGCTGAAATGGACTGGTATCGGCCATTTTGAATCAGACAGTCGTGGTTTGCTATGCCTGGAATGACAAAGAGAAATGGCATCATATTCATCATCCAAAAGAACATATCAAGGTCTGTCCTATGGTACAGTGCTGTCAGTGATAGGATGATATCCATATTCCCACAAGAAAGACCAGTTAATGTGACTGTTGCTCAAATTTATCCACCAACTGCTAAAGCCAAAAATGAAGAGAGTGAAGATTTTCACCAACTTCTGCAGCCTGAAATTGACAAAACATGCCATCGAGACACACTGATAGTTACTGGGGATTAGAGTGTGAAACCCACCAGCCACTCCTCGGAAGGAAGGTTGAGCAATCTACTTCCGTAGTGATACTGCCTCAGAAACCCAAGGAGGGGTTGCTATGATTTGACGGCATGTAACAACAACAACAGAGTGTGAAAGAAGGAAACAAAGAAGGATCGGTAGTTGAAATATATGGCCTTGGTGTTGGAAATGACACTAGAGGTCACGTGATAGAATTTTGCAAGACTAACGACTTATTCATTGCAAATACCTTTATTTCAACAACATAAGCAGCAGCTATACACATGGACCTCGCCGGATGGATTACACAGGATTCAAGTAGACTAAATCTGTGCGAAAAGACTATGGAGAAGCTCATATCATCAGTCAAACAAGGCCAGGGGCCAGCGGTGGATTAGACCATCCATTGCTCACATGAAAGTTTGAGCGGAAGCTGAAAAACATTAAAACAAGTCCACGAGAGCCAAAACAGGACTTTGAGTATATCCCACCTGGATTTAGAGACCATCTCAAGGATCAATTTGATGCATTGAACATCGATGACTGAAGACCAGATGAGTTGTGGGATAACATCAAGGACATCACACGTAAAGAAAGCCAAAGTTCATTAAAAAAGGAAGAAAAGACCAAAACAGATGTCAGAAGAGACTCTGGAACTTGCTCTTGAACAGAGAGCAGCTAAAGTGAGTGGAAGAAATGACAAGATAAAAGAGCTGAACAGAAGATTTCAAAGGGCAACTTGAGAAGACAAAGTACAGGTATTATAATGAAATGTAAAAAGACCTGGAGTTAGAAAACCAAAAGGGAGGAACACACCTGGCATTTCTCAAGATGAAAGAACTGGAGAAAAAATTTAAGCTGCAGGTTGCAATACCAAAGGATTCTATGGGCAAAGTATTGAATGATGCAGGAAACATCCACAGAAGATGTAAGGGAGGCACAGAGCCACTGGAGCAAAATGAGTTGGTCGACATTCAGCCATTTCAGGAAGTAGCCTGTGATCAAGAACCGATGATAGTGAAGGAAGAAGTCCAAGCTGCACCCAAGGAACTGATTAATAACGGCTCCAGGAATTGAGGAAATAACCATGGAGATGTTTCAACAAACGGATGCCATGCTGGAGGCACTCACTTGTCCATGCCAAGAGATTGGGAAGACAGCTACCTGGCCAACTGACTGGAAGGGAGCCACACCTGTGCTCATTCCAAAGAAAGGCGACCCAGTAGATGGTGGAAATTATCAAACAGTGTGTTTCCTTCTGCTGTGCACGGCGTTGCTGTGAGTCGGAGCTGACTCAATGGCAACAACAATGTACAGTGAATCAAGAAGACCGCCGAAGAATGGGTGCATTTGAATCCGTTGTGATGCTGCTTATTGGCCCAGCTGTGAGGATTTTGTTCTCTTCATGTCGAGCTGTGAGCCATACTGAAGAATATTCAATGTACCACGGACCTGCTAGAAGGACAAACAGATCTGTCCTGGAGGAAGTCCATCCAGGATGCTCCTTAAAAGCAAGAATGGCCAGACTTCGTCTCGCCTACTTTGGTCATGCTGTCAGAAGGGGCCAGTCCCTGGAGAAGGATGTCATGCTTGGTAAACTAGAGGGTCAGTGAACGAGGGGGAGGCCCTCCTCAGAATGGATTGACACGGTGGCTGTGATGAGGAGCTCAAGCATGGCAGCAAGTGTGAGGATGGGCAGGACCAGGCAGTGTTTCCTTGTGTTGTACACGCGGTCACTGAGTCGAAATCAACTCGAAGGCAATCTGCGGAAGCCAATCACCAGCTGCTTCTCCCGTGGAGCAGCTGGCAATGGAACCATCCACCTAATGGCTGGCGGCCGATCGTTTATCCACTGCGTCACCCGAAACCAAACCCACTACTGATGAGTTGATTCTGCCTCACGTGCCCCTGGAGGACAGAGTGGAGCTGCCCCACAGGGTTCCCCAGGCTGGGATCTTGCTGGATTTCACAGCTGCTGGGTGGGTTGGAACCACCAACCTTCTGGTTAGCAGCCAAGTGCTTAACCATTGTGCCACCAGCACTTCTTTTCAGAAGGGAGTTAAACACGCTTTCTCATACTGTGTCTTCATGTGTTGGAAGAAGGAAGCCTTACAAAACAAGGCCTTTAAGTCTTCACGGTAGCCAATAAAAATATTGGTATGTGAGTTGAAGTGGGAAATTGCCTGTAACTCCCTTCAGCTCTTCATGAGGAGATGTGCATGGGTGAGTTATGCTCACACACACACGGGCCAGATTTGTGTCCTCATCACCATACCTGATGGATGGACTCGTACCAACACTGCCGCTGCACCAGGTGGCAGCAGGAATTGCATGGGTGCCGAGAATGGCTGTGCAACCCCAAGAGTGGGATCCAGGTCACTGCCTTGTACATGTCGAAGCTGGTGATGCACGTTGTGCCGCGCATATTATCAACAACAACAAAAATAAAACAAAAGAAATAACCAAATGGAATCTGACATATGGAACCAATGTGAAAATACACACAACGGAACAGCCACCTGTTCAACTGTCCTTACAGAGGCGGTCCATGGACGGTGGTGACGTACTTCTCATTATGTCACCATTGTCCCTGTCATAGCATTTCACCTCTGGTAACTTAGGCTCTCTGCCCCTTAAGGTTCTCATGTGGGCCTTCGATTAACTGTTGTCCAGCAAGTCCCATAGACATCACTCTTTCCGGGAGCGCACGGCCCAGGCAAACCGTCTTCGTCACAAGAACCAGAGTGTTGTTGGGTTCACAGATGCTTTGTGACATGTTCGAGGCTTAAAAGCTGCCTCCAGACAACAGATTGGGGTGGGAGGTGTCCCACAGTCTCAACAGATCAGTAAATCTGGTTTCCATTAGGAATTTTAAGTTCTGTTTGTATGGAACCAATTTTCAAAGGGTGAGGGGAACTCCTGAAAGCTGACTCGATTATTTAAAAACATTTCTGTGGACCCCTGGGGGGGAGATCTGAAAGCAGACCATGTCGCAACCCCAGCTTTAAGCAAAGAGTCATAAATACTGAGGTTCAGGGGGGTGCAGACTGGGATTGGGATTGGGGGGCCTCAGGATGGGGTGGGGGGATTAGAGGGAAGAAACCAGCCACTGCACAATGACAAACTGACTGACAAGAGGGCCCAGCTGGCCCTTGCTGTGCCTGCTAACAGGGAGGGACAGCAGGGGTTCCAGCTGTTGGTTTGAGTTAGGCAGAGTGGGGAGACTTGGTATGAGAGGAGGTCAGTGAGGGCCCACAAAGCTGAGGTGGCCGGGGAGTGCAAGGAACGAGGCAGGGCCAGCTGACGGACAGCCCAGAGCCAAGCCCCACAGCCCCGTTAGCATTGGGCAACCACACGGTAGGCGGCTTCCTCACACGGCTGTGTCAGGCCACAGTCTTCCTCCACTGGGTGTGGGTGAGACACCCACACGTGTGCTCACGGGTGACCCGCCCACACACGTGCTCACGCACGGCCCTAGCACCCGTGAGGTCTGAGAGAACCTGGAAAGTGGCCCCACGGTGCCGCCTGCCCCACCGACGCCCTCACACATCTCTCCGCACCTCTGACTCATGCCCATTGGGTTTTAAACGCTGGAAACCATCCACTAGACTCGGGACCCTCCTGCCCAGCCTCTCCTCGGCTGATCGGGGGCCTCCTGGCGTGGCTGAGCTGTGTGCTGTCTTTGCAGCCCCCTCGGGACGAGAGCCTGAACGGCCTCCTCGTGGGGTACCGGATCTACTACCGGGAGCTGGAGTACGAGGCTGGGCCTGGCGCCGAGGCCAAGGCAGTGAAAAACCCGTCGGCCTTGAGGGCTGAGCTCACAGGTGAGCAGTATCCCCCTCGCGGGCCAGGTGGCTCGGGCAGGAAGGTCAGTGGTTGGGACGTGTGTGGGCGGGGTCTCTTCTGATTACCTGGAGGCCTCCTGAGGGTGGGAGGGGCAGCCTCCCTGTAGGGAGGGTCTGCAGGGGTCCCCACAGGTGGACGGGCAGGCTCAGTGGGCACCGAGGCTCCCCTGCTCCGGGACAGCCAGTTCCCCCAGGGTGCCTACCCACGCCCCAACAGTGGCTTTCGCTGCCATTGAGACTATCCCCGCCTGGTGGCCTGGCAAACCTCTCCCACTCCTTTTCTCAGAAGGATGGTGACCACAGTTCCATTTCCCTATGTCCCCAAATGGGGGCACAGAAAATGCCTTCTGCCACGCAACATCCTTGGCCTGAGGCAGCGAGAGAGCCACTTGGTGGCAGCGTACGTCTTCCATTGGGCCTGGAGGGTCTGCCTGCAGCCCAGGTGCCGATGGAGGCTGTGCGGTGCCCGGGCTCTGTGGCCATGCCCACACAGCCCCACACCACGGGGGGTGGCAGCAGTGGACACTGGCCTTGCACCAAAGCATGGGGGAGAATAAACGTCCCCTGTCCCCTGTTCGTTTGCACACCCTGTCCTCTGGTGGCCAGGCAGCCACTGGTGTCCGCTGGCCCTACTCAGAGCAGGGCGTCCCTGAGCGTGGGTGCGAATGCCACAGCAAGGAGAAACCGATTCCTCTCTCTCCTGGCCCTGCACTGGTCCCACCTCCCCACGAGAACCAGCCCCTTCAGCTTTATGGAGTCACATCACCTCCCTGGGCGGGTGTGGGGCCGGGAAGGAGGCGGGGCCAGGCCTCGAGGTACCCCGCCCTCGGGCCATCCCCATGGTAACCCGCTGTCTGCTTTGCTTGCCCGACAGCCCACAGCAGCTTCAAGACAGTGAACAGCAGCTCCACGGTCACCACGTACGAATTAACGCGTAAGTGCGCACCTGCCCCACCCCTTTACCAGCTCTGCCGCTCACAGGTCAGATACCGGGAGCGTCCCGCTGGCAGCGATGGGAATCTCTGGAAACAGATGCTGGGGACAGGGCTGTACTGATCCCGGTCTTTTCGGTTTGGGATAAAAAGGAAGAGTGCACAAGGTCCCCTCTCTGGCGGCCTCTGAGTTCATCCCAAGCCTGGCTTCCTGGACGGGGATGGGCTCCAGGTACCAAGGAGGGACCCCCTAATCTGACTTGATTGAATGCCGATAATTTGGCCGGGCTCACAGATGGGGGGCAGTGAACGAGAAGCTCCACCTGCCCGAGGCCCTGCTCTGGACGGAGGTCCTCACGGGGCTAGTCCCCCTCTCCTCGCTGCCCAGGTCAGGCAGGACTCCCCCCAGGGCTGCCCTCTCCTCTGCTCCCCAGAACCAGCCCTCCTCTGCGGTCCTCGGTCCCCTGTCCCACTGTCTGGGTCCCCACCCGCTGCTGTGACAGACATGCCACCGGTGGACAGCCGTCCCCTCCGCTGTCCCTGTGTCACTCTCCCACGGGCCTGGTCACCTGGCGCTGCTGTAACGAACACCACAGGAGGGTGGCTTTAACGAACAGATGCTCGTTCTCACGGCTCTCGAGGCTAGAAGTCTGAAATAGGGCGTCGGCTCCGGGGGCCAGTCCTCCTCTCCCTTCAGCACCTGCCCTTGGCTCCCTGGTGGGCTCCACGTGGCGGGCATGTGTCTTCTCCCAACCATCTCTGCTCCTTTAACCCACGCCTTTTATCGCTCGGAAGAGACTGATTGAAGACACACTGATGCCTTGTCAAAATGACAGAGACAATCCTATTCCCATACGGGGTGACAGCCGCAGGGATAGGAGGATTTACAACACGGAGTCTGGGGGAACCCACTCAGTCCTTGCACCCACGTTCCCGTGCCCCCACACTCTGTCTTCCTGTTCACTGCACGTGGCGGAGCACGCAGACAGGTCGTAGCCACGGTCCCTGGCCGGGTCTCGAGGCAGCTTTGGAGCCCGGGTGATAGCACATGAAAGAGGGCGCTCCGAGCCCACTCAGCCGCATGTCTCCGTGGACCCCGAGTCTGCCCTCCTCAGACTCACAGCCGGGAGAGCGCACGAGACCTCCCTGTGTGCAGTGAGCGAGGCCGCGCTCCAGCCTGGGGAGCCGTGGTTTGGCCGCAACCTCGGCAGCAGGAGCAGAGGGACCTGGGAGCAGGTTGAGCAAACTGTTGAGCGCGCGGAGGGAGCGCTCGAAAGCAGGCCGAGCCACCGTGCGCACTGGCACCGTGAGGCGGTGCCAGCCAGGGGAGCCCCCCAATGTTCAGCCTGAGGGTCCGTTCCTCTCTGGGTGTCTGTGGGCGGAGACCCGCACCTGGGCCCACCACCCGGTGCGAGTCCGTATCCGCGTCTGCCCGGTTCTTCTCTTCCCCTGACGTTTCATTGAAAAGCCAGGCTCTGCTTTGTTGACGCCTGTCTTCTTCAATGCCTCCCGGGGCTTTGTCCTTCTGTTGTTACTGGCCTCCCGCCCCGATAAATAACATTTTAAAGCAGTACTTTAAAAAGTCAAAATGAATGCAAAAACACCCATATGAACTGTGGTGGTTATGTTTGTGTGTCGACTTGGCTGGGCCTGGTTGAGTGGCTGGGCAGCGGGTGGTAGTTATTCCCCATGATGAGACTGGCAATCAACTCCATGGTGGGATCTACCACAAGCAGCTGAGTAGCTGCCTTAGGGAATGTGGTCTGCTTCCTGTATTTAAGCAGAAGCCTTGTGGAATGGTCTCTGGCCTATGGCACGCTTGGACCCTGCATGTAGCCATGTCGTTGCTCAGCAGCCTGCTATGCTCTGCCGACCTTGGGACTTACAGTGGACTTAAGTTAGTGCCCTGCTGTGTGGTGTGGTCACATCGGGACTGTGCCTTTTTCCTTGTCAACCTTTGCTTCTCAGCCTCAGCAGCCAGCAGCTGTCTGAGTGAAGAAACGCCTCTAGCTCCAGTGGCCCGGGAGCAGGAGGCAGAGCTGGACCCCAAGGTTGAGGGGCTTTCACCCAGCCCCTAGAGCCTGGCACCTTGAATTTGGACTTAAAGCCTCCAGACTGTGAGAGAGTAAACTCCTGTTTGTTAAGGCCCTCCCATTTGTGGTCTATTCCTGTCAGAGCGGCACTAGGAACCAGGACATGAACAAAATACCAAACATCTAAATAAGGCAGGACAAGTATTAGGGACTTCCCTTTTGCTGATATGTGTGCGTGTCACAGCTCAGCTTTCGTCAAAACAGCATTTGCTGGTATTGTTACTTAAACTTTTTTGCACGCTCGGTTGCCATTTTTGATTTCAGAACGTTCTGGGATCTCTGTCAACATTGTACCCACCTCCTTTTTATTTTGTAACTACTGCTTGGCAGTCAAGGTATAGAAGTTTCCTTAAGCCTGGTTCTTTTATGCTCACCCGCTCCCCGGACACGGTTGTTTCCAGTTTTTGAACTCCACTGACTCTGCTGTATATGTGTTGTTTCTTTAAAATAACCTGTTGTTGCGGAAAGGTACACAGCAAAACACGCAGCAGGTCAGCCGTCTCTTCGTGTACAGTTCAGTGACACTGACCACAGTCTACCACCTGTACAGCTGTTCTCACCCGCCTGTTCCGAGCGGTTCCTCCCCGGAACGTAGACTCACTGCCCTGAGGTTCCTGTCTAACCTTTCAAGTTGCTGTTGTCTATTTTAACCTGTGTAGATGCTTCTTCGAAGTGCACGGTGCTCAAGGCAGGCATTCTCCCCTAGCTAAGTAATACCATTGGTTTTAGGAGACTTCAGGGGATAGTTTTAGCTTAAAGTTTAAAGATTATCTCAGGGCAGTAGTTTCAAGGGTTTATTCAGCCTCTTTGGCTCCAGAAAGTCTGGATTCCATGAGAATTTGAAATTCTATTCTGCATTTTCCCCCTTTTAATGAGGATTCTTCTATGGAATCTCTGATCAAAATGTTCAGTAGTGAATGGTAGCTGGGCACCATCCGGTTCTTCCAGTCTCGTGGCAAAGGAAGCCGTTGTCCATGGAGACAATTAGCCACACACTCCATATCCTCCTCCCATCCCTGACCCTCCTGCTTCCTCTGTTTGCATATGAGCCAGGCATAAATGAGAGATGAATTTATTTAAATAGATGGACTTATTTCTGTAAAGGGTCTTAATTCTATGGGTTTTGATAATTTTTCTCAAGTGGGTAACTGAATGTCTCAATACTAGTTATTGTCAATCCTTTGCCTGATGGCCTGGAGTGGTGTTCTTACCCAATGGCCTGGAGTGGTGTTCTTACTTTGGTGTTTAGTTTTTTATTGTGTGGCTCAGTTTTCAGCCACATGATAGGCCCATAAGGTGAACGGTAGCACCAGGGAGGGGCACACTCCTTAGAATGACCAGCCCATCAAGATCGAAAGGGCAAAGGGCAGCGTTTACCCAGAGAGAAGCTATGGAGGCAAGACGGGGCAGGAAGGATGGAGCGATGGAAACGGGAAACCAGGGGACCGGTGGCCCCATTCCCTGTTCCCTCTGCCTCTAACCCCTGGAAAAATGAAATGAAATAACATGTTATTAAAATAAAACACATTTCACGGGTTTTTTTGCACATGCACTTCAGTGACGCTTTCTTCACCCAGCCTCACATTCTCACGTTCTGACTCTTATGGGGCCCTTCTGGGCCAGCGGGCAAGCCCACCACCCCATGTCCTCAAGGTCCAGGTGTCTGACTCCTCAGGGGAGCTTTGGGGCAGCGGGCAAGCCCCCACCAGGTTCTCTGATCAAAACCCTTCAGTTGAGGAGCGAGTCCTGCCCACTGGCTCCTGCCCTGAGTCTGGGTACAGGCACACCTCGCCTGATGGCGCCACACTTCACTGCACTTCGCAGACACCATGTTTTGCACAGACTGAAGGTCCGTGGCATCCGTGCACAGAGCAAGTCCACTGCGCCATGTTTCCAGCAGCGTGAGCTCACATTGCGTCGCTGTCCCATTTTGGCCATTCTCGTATTTCAGACCTTTTTGTCACACTGTTGCACACTTACTTGAGAGATGCCACGGGAGTGTGAACATGAACTTCATAGGCATGGGAAACCCAAACATGCGTGCTCGCTGTACCACCATGTCGGCTTTACTGTGGTATCTGGAACCACCCAGGATAGCCCCGTGGTTTGCCTGTCCATGGCTCCCTGTGCTACCCAGAGTGCAGGGCCTGATGGATACCTGGGACGGCAGGGACATTCCTGTGTGCAGGGTCCAGCCTGGACCAGCCGTCTCTGTGAAAGACCCTAGTTACTCCCCGGCCCCCCTGGGGTTCACTGACCCCTCAGTGGGTGTGTTCACAGGGGAGGTGTGAGGGACGCCTGCAAGACAGGACCCCTTGGTGGGCATGTGAGGGAAGCCTGTGAGGTGTCTGGGGTATACTGACATCTGTCTCCTTTGATCGTGCAGATCTGAAGAAATACAGGCGTTATGAGGTGATCCTGACTGCCTACAACATCATTGGGGAGAGCCCCGCCAGTGCCCCCGTGGAGGTCTTCGTGGGTGAAGCCGGTAAGCCCTGGGTGGGAAAGGCCACCGCCCATGAGGCCACAGTGACACAGGCCACCAGGCACTCCATGGCCATGTGTCTCCTGTCAAGTGTACCCCCTTTGCTGAAGACTTATGGAACTGGTGGAGTCCAGAGGGCTCCTGGGCCCTGGGTGGAGAGGCCGGCTCGGCTGAGAGCTTTAACTTTACGACAGAGGAGGGCCATGCTGCCTCGCAGAAAGAGGCCCTTCACTGGGTCCTCAGGACAGAGAACCAGAGCTTGCCTGGTCCTGACGTCCACCCAGGTGCCCGCGGAGCTTGTCTCTTATACCACAGAGGACAAGCAGAAGGACCCGGAGCGGAGGGTTTGCGATGACCACGTTGTGGGCATTCGGTGCGTGTGGGTCATGTTGACATACACGTTGCTTCTGAAGGAGGAGGAGTAACTTGAAACTGTCGGTTTGTTGTGTGTTTGTTAAAGGATGAGAGCCTGTCGTGGAGTGCGGGTTCCGCCTTCCCTCTGAGCACTCCAAACATAAAATTACTGTTGGTCGGGAGGAGAGAAAAGTAACAGTTTCCAGCTGTCTTAGCTCCCCCTAGTGACAAATAAAGCCATCCCATTACTAAACCAAAAAAAAAAACACCCAAAATCACTGCCATCGAGCGGATTCCGACTCACAGCGACCCCCACTGGGTTTCTAAGGCAGCGAATCTTTGCAGAAGTGGATTGTCCCGTGTTCTTTCTGCAGAGCGGCTGGTGGGTTTGAACCTTCTGGTTCGCAGTCAGACGCCCTAGGCCCTGTGCCACCGGAGCGCCTCTAGGTCATTAATTGAACGCAGGTCACAGAGTTGGAAATGCTGCGGGCACTTTCTCTTCCGATGGCCACGGCCTCAGGTGTTGAGCCAGTCAGCAGTGCTGTGTGCAGTAGAAACGGACACCACTGCTGGCCCGAGTGGTGAAGGGCATTTATTGAGAGCCCAGCATAGATGTCCATGGAGGCCTAGGCTGTGCCTGACTCAGACCGGGGTGTGTTCAATCACACGCACATGAAAGCTGGACAACGAGTGAGGAAGACCAGGGAAGAACTGATGCAGTTGGATTACCATGTTGGCGAAGAGTATGGAAGATAGCATGGAGGCCAGAGAAACGAACAAGTCCGGCTTGGAAAAATACCGCCAGAATGCCCCCGGAAGCAAGGATGGTGAGACGTCATCTAACGTATTTCATGTAAAGTGGGCTAACACTTGACTTCCATCCTGTGCGCTCCACCGTTTATGGAAAGGGCGACACCAGAGCCCAGCCAGAAGAAGAGCCCTTTCTGGTGACACAGAGCGTGAGACCTAACTAGGTCCCCCGTGCGTCCCACTCTGAAGCCTTCCTTGACTCACAGGCCAGCCTGGGAGCCCAGAGCGTCAGGGAGCACGTCTGCGCAGTGGTCTGAAGGAGCTCCGCCCAGGGGGGGCACTGGGTGCCCCGTGCTGCATCACAGGGACCCCAGCACTCACTGCCTTTGACCCCACAGCCCTTTGGGTCGGAGATCTGGGCTCACTGTCCCTGGGTTGTCAACATCAGGGTTCTCACGAGGCTGCAGTTGGGGTTGGCCTAGGGACGTCGTGTCATCTGAAGGCCCGACAGGTCCCAGCTCTCTCACATGTGGTGGCAGATCCTGCTCCCCGTGGAGTGTGGGCCAGAGGCCCCAGCCCCACATGGGCTGTTGCCCAGAGGCCTCCCCAGTTCCTTGCCACCAGGGCCCCTCCACAGAGCAGCTCCCAACATGGCAGCTGGCTTCCTCAGAGCGTGTGTGGGAGGACACAGGGCACCAAGATGGACTCAATTCTTGGCAGCCTGGTCACAGAGGCTCCATAATCTCTGTTAGAAATAGGCCAGGGGGTTCAGCCTGCACTCATCGGAGGGAACCCCACAGGCTGGGGGGTTCAGCCCATGCTCATCGCTCATTGGGTGGGAACCCCACAGGCCAGGGGGTCCAGCCCGCACTCACGGGGCGGGGACCCCACCAGGGTCAGCCCATGCTCACAGGGCAGGGAACCCAAGCCCAAGGGGTTCAGCCCATCCTCATGAGGAGGGGACCCCACAGGCCAGGAGTTCAGCCCATGCTCCCAGGGGGGGGCTTCACACAGGCATTTATTCCAGAAGGTGGGACCATTGGGCACCACATCAGACGCCACCTCCCTGGGGAAAAGTAATATTGGAACGTGTCACCTCCATGTGGCATGACTGCCCAGAGACCCCACCAGTGGTGCGGCCCCTCCCTGGACAGGGACGACACACAGCAGGCCTCACACCTTCAGGGGACCGAGCTCACAGCGCACACCGTGCTCAGCTCCCCTCCACGGCACCTGCTCTTTGCTGGGCCGTGCCTCCCTCGACCTGAGTTACCTCCTTTCGTCTCAAAGCCCCTTGAAGTTTGATCTCCCCCCATTTGTACCTGATGATGCCGAGGCTCAGAGAGAGGAAGCCGCGTGGCACTATGCCTGGACTCACAGGTCAGAGCCAGGTGTGCAAACCCCGTGTCCAGGGCTTTCCCACCGAGCCCCTCAGCGTTCCTGGAGCTGGGGGCACACTGCCCTGCTTTAATGTACCCAGTTTTTCAGTGGTTTTCGGCCCAGTTTCCTGATTTTTCTCATGCAGCTGTTTTTGGGTTGTCTTTGGTTCTGTGATGGGGGTGGAGCTTGGAGAGGGGGACAGGCGACAAGAGTGAGATGCAGCTGCTCTGAGCGGGGCTGGCACCAGGAAACAACAAGGGCGCATGTGGGGAGCCCCAGGAGCCCCGCTGGGAGGGGAGACTCGGAGCTGGCCTGCCGGGGTGACTACGAGCCTGAATCCACACACCCGCAGGGTGTGACCCGGGCCACTGGCTTGGTCTCTGCGGGCCTGAGTTTTCCCATCTGTACGGTGGGCCAGTGACGAGCAGACTTGACAGAAGGCTCTGTCGGGGAGGCCGTTGTCACTGTGGTACACGGACGTTAAGGAACTGCCACCATCCCCACAGCCAGCAAGCGGGTGTCCCTACCGCCTGCCTGCAGCTTCCGAAGTCCTCAGGTTTCTGGAGAGAAGGGGCATTAGGGGCAACTGTGGTCCACGTGATCCATGTCCCTGAGCCTTTCAAAGCCAAAACCACAGCCGTTGTCATTGAGTCAATTCTGACCCATGGTGACCCCTGTGTTAAAAGGTGGAAGTGAGCACCGTAGGGTGCCCTTAACTGTCTTTTCTTGTTTAAAATATGTTGCTGAGTTTTTGGTGCCCGTTTGCACAGCACGTGAGGTTCCCATTTGACGGCTCCCACACACGTCGATCGATGACAGTCAGTGCGTTTACACAGTGTCAGCATCTCTTTCAATGAGTTCTGGTTGTCCCGTTCCCTGCACTCTGGTGGTCCTGTCTCCTTGTCTTCTCATCTTTGCCTTGGGTGAATTGTTGGCCTTCTGGACTCCCAGCTTTCCGCGGAGCCCCAGTCTCCAGGTAATAGCTGTATTCTGTATGTCACTCTGCTTTCCTGTTGAAATGTGACCTCAGCATAGTTTTGGTTCAAGGTTAAGATGGCATCTCAGGGCAGTGGTCTCAGGGAGTCCTCTGGTCCCAGCGGCCCGGTTGGTCTGTTAGCTGTCATGTTTATGGAAGCAGATTGCCACGCCTTTCTTCTGCACTGCAGTTCCCCCAGCTGGCTTCAAACTGCCAACCTTTTGGTCAGTAGCTGAGCGCAAACTATCTGTGCCACCCAGAGACAAACTATGATATCCTCACCTGGAGTTGTCTGTTGTAAGCTTTCTAAGAAAGTACTTTAAAATGTCTCCCAAGATGCTCTGCCCCCAACCAGAAGTTTCCAGAAGGCAGGGCTGACGAGTGCTGGGCCTCCCTGGGTGGCCTGGGCGTGCTGGCCGGAGACAGCAGGGCCAAGGCTCCCTCGTTAGTATGGGTGGCACTCTTGCCCAGATGTGAGACCTGCTAAGGGTCTGCCCCTTCCTGTCTTGTTGGCATCTCTGCCACCGCACCCTTGCCCTCTGTCCCCAGCTGACCTGAAGCAGAGCTATCGGGCTACCCCACCCTTCTGGGCTGAAGAAAGGGCGTGGGGGCGGCCTCCTCCTCTGAGCTCCTCTAACCTCATGAGGGGGAGACTGAGTCACCATCAGCAGCCCAAGGCCGATGCCTACGAGGCCAGACATGCCACCACCCACCAGCCTTCTCACCAAATCTGACACCTGCCGTCCCTCCCACGACTCTCACTGCTTCTCTGCTGGGTTTGATATTTTGTTACAGTGGCCACACAGAACTCACAGACGATGATGGGTTCATTAGGGAAGTAACAGGTGACAACTCAGGTTCAGGGACACTTGGGATACAATTCTTCCATCAGGACAGTCGCCCCTCAGCCAGAGGCACGTCTCTCTGGCCCTTGGCTTCTCGGCCTGGCCTCTGCCCGGCCCCAGCAAGTGTTACAGAGCCCTTTCAGCTCTGCTGATAAGGGACCTAGGTGCGCCCCACTCGGCCAGCAAACCTCCTGCCCAAAGGCACTCACTTTCTCGCTCCGTGGGCTGCAAGCCCACCTCTCTGTCTCGTGCCGGTCACTCGTTCCACTGCCACTGCCACTGCTGCCCACTGTCTGCTGTCTCTCTGCTGTCACAGCACAGGGACCTGGGCCCAAGGACGGGCTCCACGTCTCTCTTGATGGCAGTGAGAGCCCCCTTCTGCGTCCAGGAGGGCTCACTTTAAGTCCAGCAGAAGGACCACACTAACCTGTCCCATATCAGAGTCCCCTACACCTTGTTAGTATGGCCCACCCCACAAGGTGCCAGGGACCTTATTGACACTACTCACAAGCTGTCAGTCCCCTTGGTGGCCACCAGGACCTCACATTTGAATAGTTCCACCCAGTCACCTGGTGGGTGTCACAAAGACCATGGCTGGAGGAGCCAGCCCAAGTCACTCCCTGCAGCCACATATTGAGAAGGCGCAGGGCCTAAGTGCTGGGACCTGGAGCCTGTCCCCGGATCCGCAGCCCCGGAGAGCAGATGTGCGGTCACTCGGTTCCACTGCCGCTGCCACTGCTGAGAGGGTGGACAGCTCTAGAGAGTTCTGTCTCCTGTTTGCAGCAGCAGATCAGGAAGTGTGTCTGCACAGGACAGTGTCCATGTAACTAAAGCAAACTGATGAAAATCATCTCAGCAAATGCTTCTTTCCTGACATTAAAACATGAGCACCGAGCCGCCGGTGACAGTAAAATCCTTGCTCTACCCAAATGAAAAATCGGAGGGTTACAAAAACTGGAGTTGAACCCCACTCTGCTGTCGTGGGTGGAGGGCAGCTCTGGCGGCAGTAGGGTGACTGCCGGTCACTTGTGACCCGAACAGACACCTGTTTCCTTACCCCTCTGAGGGTGACCCCTTCATCTCCACCACCCACAATGCCCTGGCTCCTCCAGCCTGTGTCACGTGGTCAAATCCTCCCACCACGTAAGAGCCAGCTGCTCCGTCTTCCAGGAAACACCTAATGGGAAACACTGGACACTTTCAGTGCAGCTTCCAGACAAAGGCAGGCCAGGAAGAAAGCCCCACTGACCCACTTCTGAAAAGCAGACAGACGGTCCCACCTGAAACCGATCGCGGGGTTGGCTGCATTCTGTTCCACTGAGTGCGGACTTGCCGTGAGTCCTGGCCGGCTCATCGACAGCTGATGTCAGCAGTTACGCAGTCGGCCATTGCTTGGCCCATGGAAGCCTCCGGAGCCCACTCTTGCTGTCAGGTGCAGGGCGCCCCCCAGAGCCCACATAAGCTTCCTTGGGACGTCCTAGATGAGGTCTCGCTCCAAGGTGTGGTGGCTCCCTGGCTGGGAGCCCCATGATCCTCGTCCTGTCCACGTCACCTCTCCATGCTGTTTGTAGTCAGTCTGCGTGGGCACATGTCAGGACGGCCAGGCTGAAATGCCACTCAGAAATAACCCGTGCATCGTGAGCACCCGAGCTGATGTTTGCGTCCCTGTACGCCACAAAGGGAGCCCCGGCAGTGCAGCGGTTAAGCGCTCAACTGCTAACCGAAGGTTTGGTGGTTCGAACTCTGGCAGCGGCTTCTCAGGACAAAGCCCTGGCCATCTGCCCGAGAACAGATGACCATCTAGAAAACCCTGTGGGGCATGTCTCCTGTGTGACACGGGGTGGCTGTGAGTTAGAATCAACCGGACGGCACCCGCCACCACCAGCCACCACAACATTAAGGTGGGAGAACCAAACGGCAGTGCCTCTCAGACACACCACTGGTTCCCGACCCGAACTCACTTGGCGCCGAACAGGAGTCCCACCTGGGGTTGCCCCCAGCACCGGCTGCGTGGGACCAGGTCCATGTGTAGGGCAGAAACCCAGCCGCTTCCAGGGACAGGAGCTGAGTCTGCAAACCGCATGCTCTGTGTTTCTAAATATTCCTCATGTCCCTGCCTGTCGTTGTCAGAAATCTCTGTGTCACCCACAGTGTTGTTGCAGCGTAGCTGGTGGGTGTATGGGTGTTTCCGTGTGGGCATGTGGGGGCGTGGGACGGCAGTGCCACTCACCGCCTGGGACTGGTATGTGGGCTTGCTTTCTCCAGGGTTCATCAGGCCTGGTGAGAAGGCCGTAACCCCGTTCTGGGGTGTTGCCCAGAGCTCGTAAGGCGCGCTGGTGGCACAGCAGTTAAGCACTCAGCTGCTACGCTGAAGGTTGGTCGTTCAGACTCACCCGGTGGCTCCTCAGGACAGAGACCGGGCGGTCAGCTCCCCTGAAGGTCACAGCCCCGGAAGCCCCGTGGGGCCGTTCGGCTCTGTCATGTGGGGTCACCAGGGGCTGGAATTAACTCCCTGACACCCAAGGACAGCAGCCCAGCATTCGTGGACTTCGCTGGACCCTCATTTCCTCCGAGCTGCCCTGGTGCTGGGTTTGGCCGAGCCTTTGAGAGGGAAAGCTGGGGCTGGGGGCACGCGCACACGGTTTTACCCGACTGACGGGGTAATGGCCGCCTCCACTTTGCCGCTCACGTTTTAATTGTACAACAGTAATTTTGCGATAGAGTTGCCGATGGCAAACATGCAGAAGACATTAACTTTATTTATGTTTTGGGTTATTAATGGGGCTGTTAAAATTCCTCCAGTTAGTTTTGATTGAATTGTTTTCTGTGTGATTCTGTTGTTTAATGGAGCGGTAAATAAGAGTTTCTGATAATGAGCTTGGCATCTGCACAACAGCCTGGCGTGGGTTATTAACATCCCCGTGAGCGGCAGGGTGGGCAGTGATCACACGGCATCCACACAGTTAGGACAGAATGAATAGTCAGTGTCAGGCCGAGTGGGCCTTAATTACCATCCTGTTCCACACGGGGGGTGGGAGCCGAATGTGGGGCGGGGGCGTGCAGCAAGGGTCACTTCTGAAGGTCATTCGGTCCTGAGAGCCCACAGGCCGGGCCGTCTTCCAGAGACAAGGACTGCTTGATCTCACCAGTTTAGGCCAATAAACAAACGAGGAGGAGCCTGGTGATGCTGTGGGTAAGTGCTCAGTGCTAACCAGCAGGTCAGGGTTAGAACCCACGGTGGCTGGAGGCACAAAAGCCGGTGATCTGCTCCCGTGCGGATGGCAGCGTAGGGAGGCCTCTGGGGCAGTTCTGCTCGTCACATGGGGTCACTGTGAGTCAGAATGGCCTTAACGTCACCACCACCAAGAATGGATTTGGGCACCAGGCCGGCATCCGGGCCCAGGGCAGCTTCACATTCCACTGGGGTGCCCAGCACCGGCAGTGGGCGTGGTTTGGGCTTTGCTTCTGTGAAGATTGACAGCCTTGGAGACCCTGTGGGCAGTTCCACTCTGTCCTCTAGGGGCGTTGTGGGTCGGAATTGACTTGCTGGCAGTGGGTGTGGTTTGGGCTTTGCTTCTGTGAAGATTGACAGCCTTGGAGACCCTGTGGGCAGTTCCACTCTGTCCTCTAGGGGCGTTGTGGGTCGGAATTGACTTGCTGGCAGTGGGTGTGGTTTGGGCTTTGCTTCTGTGAAGATTGACAGCCTTGGAGACCCTGTGGGCAGTTCCACTCTGTCCTCTAGGGGCGCTGTGGGTCAGAATGGACTCCACGGCAGTGGGTGTGGTTTGGGCTTTGCTTCTGTGAAGATTGACAGCCTTGGAGACCCTGTGGGCAGTTCCGCTCTGTCCTCTAGGGGCGCTGTGGGTCGGAATGGACTCCATGGCATGAGGGTTGGTTGCAGTGAGTGTGGTAACAAGCCACAGTGTTGCCCTCAGTGTCTGTGAGTGACTTCCACAGACACCAGGATGTCCTCATCCTGAACCACAGCTGCTGCCAAGATAGCACTGCTTACCAGGGCAGCTTGGAAGGCTGACTTCAGGGGCTAATCGAGGCTCAGAGCCCCCGGGGTGGGGGTGCCGGCAGTGAGTGTGCTCAGCTGCCGACAAACAAGGCACTTGGCCCTCCAGTGTCCCCAGGCATCTCATAGGACAGGCTGGCCGTGTCCTTCTGACAAACCAGAAGGCCGTGAGGAGCAGTGGTCTCCCACGCACACGGGCACCATGAGCCTGCATCAATTCCTGGCTCTAAACTCACGGCACCCTGTGCCCCTGGCCTCCTCCCTCACCCTCAGTGTCCTGCTCACTGTGTCAGGGACGCTGGTTCTCTTGGTCATCCTGTGTGTTTTGTTTCTTGCACTGAACACGGTCCTTCCCAGAAGGGCCCCTGGGTAGAAAGTCCGAGGGTCCCGGGCAGCCCGCCGGGCTGGGATGCGAGTGTAGTCAGTTCCCGGGGCCGCTCTGCCACCCGCAGGAGGGGGCCCCGAGGTCAGGTCCTCAGCCCTCTCCTCTGCTCTCTCCACAGCGCCGGCAATGCCCCCCCAGAGCGTGCGGGTGAGCCCCCTCACCGCCAGCCAGCTGGAGGTCACGTGGGAGCCACCGCCCCCCGAGAGCCAGAACGGCAACATTCAAGGCTACAAGGCAAGCTGGTGCGCGTGGCAGGTCGCCGTGTGCGGGCCCAGAGCCCGATGCAGGCTGGGAGCCCGGCCCCCGTGGCCGCTGCCCCTAGGCGGACTTCGCCCTCCGGTGTCCCCATCACAAGTACACAGCGTGGAGGGCGGGGTGGGGGGGAGCGAGGCAGGGTGGGTGGCGGCCAGGGAACAAGGTGCTGAGCACGGGAGCAGGGCTCACGTGGCCTGGCTGGGGACCCTCCTGCTCCGTGCCCTCTGGGAGCTCGGGTACCTCCTGCTGCTGTTGGTGGGTGTCGTGAGTCTGCTCTGACTCTGTCGACCCCGTGTGACAGAGTACAACCGCCCATAGGGTTTCCCCGACGGCAGTGCTACCGGAGGCAGAGCGCCAGGTGCGTGGACTCAAACTGCCGACTCTCGGCAGGCAGCCCAGCCCTTCCCGCTGCACCCCTCGGGAACTCCTTGAGGCGTGTTGTTGTGTGTGGACCAGTGGAGTGTGACTTACAGTGACCCCTCCCCCGAGGGCCTGACACCCGGTCAGCAAGACGTGCTAGTGGTGGGCCAAAGAAGGCAGCCTGGGGCGCAGGTGTCCATCTGCCGAGGACCAGGGCCCTCTCACAGAGAGGGGTGTTGGCTCCCCCCGCAAAACACACCCCTGCTCCAAGGGCCCTGAGCCCCGGGCTCCACAGAACAGCCCTGTGGGAGATGCCAGCTCCCTCCTCCAGAATTAATGGCCCTGTCTGGGCTGCTAGAGCCTTAGTTGATTGGTCTTCAGACCCGGTGGGCTCTCCCGACCTCGTGACTATTGGGCCAATTAAATGTCCATTTACCATGATTTTTGTGGGTGTTTTATGCAAATGAATGCCTCCCTCCCAGGCAGGGCTGTTACAGTGATGAACAAGGTGACGCAGCAGAGACTGGGAGAGCCCTGCTCCCCGGCAAGGTGCTGTTTGTGTACGGCCCACTCTCTCTCCTCATTTCCCTGATGGCACAGACATTGAACTTGGATATTGATCTCAAGGCCGCCGGGCCTGTGCAAGCCGCAGCCCCAGCTGGGGCAGCGCAGTGGGCGGACGGGGGACCCCCCCGGGCCAGCGTTTGGGGAGTGGCGATGGACGTGGCGGGGCGCTGGCCTGCAGGAGGCGCCGCCGTCTTCTGATGGGCAGCAAGCTGCTCCCACGGGCTGCCGTGGGACAGGGTTCGCGTGGCCAACGCGGGGCTCGGGCAGCGTCGCCAGTGGCCACTAGCTGTGTGCAGGGGCCGTCCTCGCGGCGTCCTCCGGCCTTCGCGGGGCCATAGTGCTCTCCCTAAGCGCACAAAAGCCAGACGGTCGTGTTGAGCACAGAGGCTTCCCAGCACCCGGGAACGTGGTGTGTTTCGTTGCCTGTGTGTCCTGCCTGTGGACTGAACACTTAGATGTCGGCTTTGGACGGAATGGGGATGCAGAGGGTGGACGTCAGGTCGGGGTCGGGACAGACGCTGGGGCTCTCCCTTCTCTCCAGGAGGGGCCACAGTGGAAGGCACCCCCAGAGCTCACCCCGCAGGAGAAAAGGCAGCTTCCTGGTGACCCAGGTGGTAGGTGCCTGTGTCCTCAGGTCCCCAAGCGGCAGCGTGGTCTGTAACCGGCCACTGCTCTGACTCTAGGCGCCCAGCTCAGAACCGCTGGGCCTCTGGGCCGTCGATTCGGTCACCACGGTGTCCCTCCGCGCACCACGACCTGCCGCCCGGCCGCCTCCGCTTCTGGCCCCTCCTGTAACGCCACCCCTGCCTCTGCCCGTCTGGCAGGTCTATTACTGGGAGGCTGACAGCCAGAACGAGACGGAAAAGATGAGGGTCCTATTCCTCCCAGAGACGGGGCTCAAACTCAAGAACCTAACGAGCCACACCAAGTACCTGGTCAGCATATCAGCCTTCAACGCCGCCGGGGACGGGCCGACGAGCGCGCCGCGGCCGGGGCGGACGCATCAGGCGGGTAGGAGGGCCACGCACGTCCTCTGAGGGCCTCGGTTGGACGCGTGTTCTGGGCGCACCGGGGTCTCAGCTTCTTAGGGCTGCTGGGACGGAGAGGCTGCAAGCAGGTGGTCAGACAGAGGCCTCCCACCGAGCCTGGCAGAGAGCCGGCCAGGGCTGTCCTCGGCCGCACACCTGGCTGCCATCCCCGGGAGGGCCCCTCCGGGGCTGGGGGGTCATGGGCCTCCTCCCCCACCCCCAGGCGAGCAGGACCTCTCTGAGCTGGCGAGGGTTCAGAGGGAGGGGCCCGGCTGTGCCCCTAAGACCTGCGGGCCCTGAGGAAGGGAGCAGACGGCATGGGAGTGGAGGGGAGAGTAAGGGCTTGGAGAGTGGGACCAACTGGAGGCTGTGCCTGGGATGGGGCCTTGGAGGAGACGGCGGTAGAGGAGGTGAGAAGAGGTTAGGTTGGAGATGTGTTTTAAGGATGTTTGGAGAGCAGAGGGGAGGGGAGGGGAGGCCTCGCCCATCCCAGAGCCACCCCCCTGCCCAGAAGTGCCTGCGGAGCACCTCTGAGGCCCGCTGCTGCCGGACAACACGCAGCATCCCATGTCCTGCTTTCCCCAAGGCTCAGTTTTATGCCTGCTGTTTCTCCTCTTGAGTTTAAACACCGGCATTTTCTCGGCTCTTCTCCGGAGGGTCTGGGTTTCCGATCAATCATGGGAACTTCTGGGGGTCTGTGATCCTGGGCCCCGGCGTTTCGACTTGGCCTGAGTTGGAGCCACACACCATGATGCGCGCCCTGCCCGCGGAGGCCCAGCACATGCAGGCGTGGCGCACCTGGGCCCCGGAGGGGCTGCGGCCACAGCCGTCCTGTCCTCCTTAGCTCCTGGTGCCCCCAGCTGCCTGATGTTCTCGGAAGTCACCTCCACCACACTCAACGTGTCCTGGGGCGAGCCCGCGGCAGCCAACGGCGTCCTGCAGGGCTACCGGGTGGTGTACGAGCCCCTCGCACCCGTGCAAGGTAGGAAGATGGGGCGGGGGGCGGGCCTCCGCTGCGCCCAGCATCCCGCAGTCCACAGACGAGCCCAGGGGTGTTTGTGTCGAGTCTGCACTCAGAAGGCGAACAGCGGGCTGGGAGAGACCGCCCCAAGCACCTGCCTTCCAGCACTTCCTCTGTGGGACCCTGTCATGGCCCCTTTGATTCCCTCTCCTTCACGTAGTTGCTGTTGGAGCCTGTCAAGTCAATTCCGACTCATAGCAAACCCATGGGACGTGGTGGCGCTCCCTGTGCAGTTTGCGAGGCTCCTCTGTACGAGAGCAGGTCACCAGCCTTCATCCCACAGAGCCACGAGTGGGTTCAAGCCACCAACCTTTCAGTTGGCAGCCAAGCGCTTAACCACTGTGCCACCAGGGTCCCTTTTCTCTTCTCTACCCAGGAGTTTCCGCCCCCTGTTTCTACATCTCGGTCCTCGTGGGTGCTGAAGAGGCCACCCCGGGTCCCACTTGTTGGCACCACGCAGGGACATGTTGGCGGCTTCCCAGGGGGCACTGACACCCTTACGCATCAGTCACTCTGTTGGTCCATCGGTTGGTTCACTCGCTCGACAGGTGTTTATGGTTGTGGCTGTTCATTGCTGTCAAGTTGACACTTGGCACCCCATGCACAGCAGAACCAAGCGTGTCCATCCTGAGCCATCTCATGACTGCGGTCTGCTCACGTCCACTGTCACGGCCACGGGATTCCCTGAGCGCCTCCGCACCCGGGGGCTCCTCGTCCAGCCCCCGTGTGTTCTCAGCGCCTCCCCACCCTACACGTCATTCCTAGAATCACAACAGGGCTGTGACGACAGCTCCCGCCCCGGCTCCAGGGAGCCGGCCCCACACGTCTGCTCCCACGTGTGTGGTTGTGCCATAGTTCCTTGTCCATTTCCACAAGTGCCCGTGCACCTCTGGGGCAGTCGGACGGCATGGGTGGGTGTCGCTCAGGCGGTCGCGCTCCTCAGGTCAGCTGACACGGGCTCTCTGTGCACCCATCTGCTGCAGCCGCCGGGGGTGATGGTGACGGCAGGGCCGTTACCGAGCACTTACTGCAAAGTAGGTGCCGTGCTGAGCACCGAGCACGCACGGTCCTGTGTCCTCATAGCGGCTCTGTGGTGCGGCGGCTGCCGCCAGTGTTTACGGACAGACACTAGACTTCAGGCCCTGGAGGCCTTTGCCCAGGGCCCACAGTTAGAAAACCACAGAGGGAGGCTTGAACGCAGGCGGTCTCATCCGGGAGGCCACGTCTCAGCGGCTGTGCCTTGAAAAGCACCCTGGAGACCCCTGTTTCTGGAGTCAGTGTGTGGAGGCGCTTCCAGAGGGGGCAAGCGGAGGACTTGCGGAAACACCTCGGTCACCTCGGCCGCCACCTTCCCACAAGCACAGGCAGACCTCGTCTCATGCACTGCACTTGATCGCGCGCCACCGATTCTGCGTTTTTCACAAACGGGTCTGTGCTGACCCCGCATCGAGCCAGTCTGTCAGCGCCATTCTTCCAACAGCACGGGCTCACTTCATGTCCCATTTTGGTCATTCTCACAATACTTTAAATTTCTTCATTAGGCGGTGTCACACTTAATAGACACAGTAGAGGGGAAACAACTTTTCTATGCACTGGGAAACCAAAACATGCGTGGGACCCACTTAATCACAGTCTTCACTTTATTGTGGTGAGCTGGAAGGACATCTCCGAGGACTGCCTGTAAGAGGCATCCATCTCAAGCCTCCTGGCTTCTGTCTCCTGGCTCTGGCATTGGACACACTGCTCTGAAGGTTGTGTGGTGGGGGTGCCCTTTGCTCTGTGGCTCACGCTTACCCCACAGACTGGGAGGAAGATCAGAGTCACACCGTCTACAATGCCCCAGGTCTCTATGGACGGGCGAGAAGAACCAACCACCTGAAGGTGGCCATGGCAGACACTGGGGCACATTCCAGACGCCCGATGCCTGCTCACCTGTCAAGTGGCAATCCAGGGCTTGGGCAGTCCAGTAGCCCAATGCCACGGAGTGATTCCTCGGAACACCACTCTGTCCCCCGAGCTCTGTGATGAAGGCCTGTTCACCACAACAGCTCTGTCCCTCTCCAGCTGGTCCAACATCTATCCCCTGTGCGGCCGAGTCCAGCTTCCCCTGGAACCAGACAGCCTCTTCCCTGGGACCGGGACTCGCCACCCCTGCTGCCCTGTGGTTGACCTCTGACCTGCTGGTGGCTCTGCCCACCACCAATGCCAGCAGCTCTCAGGACCCAGGCTCTGGCCTGCCCAGGCCTGATGACATCTGTGGGAACACTGGCTCGGCCACATGCAGCCCTGACGCCTCCTGACCAGCCATGTCCTGCAGATACGCAGGCCAAGAGAGGGGTGAAAGGAGGGTAACCGATGTGGGTCTGGGGTGAGGACGGCACAGCCAGGGCACTGACTCCCCACTGCTGGGTTTAGGGGGTAGAACAGAGCCCCCGGAACCACAGAACGGGGCCTTATTTGGAAATGCGGTCTTTGCAGGTTGGATTACCTTGAGGATCCCAACGTGAGATCAGCCTGGTTTAGGGTGGGCCTCGCACTCCGTGAGATGCCCTGGCACAGAGGTCACAACACTAACAGCCACAAACATGGCACGGGACGGGCAGCGCTCATTCCATTACAGGCAAGGCCGCTGGAGCTGGAACAACAGCCGCAACCTAAGTCCAGTGGCTGTGTCCTTATAAGAAGAGGGGAGACTCACAGAGACGCAGAAGATGAGGTCACGTGAAGAGGCAGCCATGCAGCTAAAAACCCAGGATCAGCACCACGATGGCCGCCTCCACCAAAGCTGGGAGCGGAGCTCGGACAGACAGACCCTCCCTCAGAGCCACCTGAGTCTAGGAGCCCACCTCACCGACACCTTGGATTTCAGACGTGTGACCTTCAGAGCCATGAGAGAATCAAGTTGTACCATCTGAAGTCCCGTGATGGGTAGTAATTTGACACTCACACAGGGGTGGCGTGCAGGATTCAAGAGGACCCCACCTTGCCCGTGTCCCTCATGTCCATGCCCTTTGGCTGTGCCCCCTCACTGACTGGACATGGTGATGTGACATGTCTTGGCCGTGAGAGGTGGCACTCGTGAGGCACAGACACTGAAGCGTCTGCCCTTTGCTGCCCCTGGATCTTGGTCACCATTTGGACAAGCCAGAGCTAGCCTGCTGGGTGGTGACCAGCCCCCATCCCTTGTCTGGTAGCCACCAACTGCAGGCATGGCAGGGAGGCACATGGGGCCGGCCCTCCGCCAACCAGTGCCCAACTTTGACACAGACACATGGAGAGTCCACCAGCATCAGCCAGGCCAGCTCTGACCGGAGACCAGCCAGAGAGGAGGGGCCAGATTCCATGACACTGGAGCCAGGAGTCCCCGGGAGGCACAGGCGGCAGTGCCCTTGGCTGCTAATCCAGAGGCTGGTGGTTTGAATCCACCCAGAGGCTGGAAGTCTGTGTCTGAGAAGCCAGGCACCAAAAACCTGCAGCGCACATCGCCACTCTGACA